TAGTGATGATTAATAGCTGAGAACTCTCCGTTCCCTCGTGTGTCCCTGTTCCGGCCCCGCGGTAAGGTGCAGTATCTCCTGACACCCCGACACCCCGTACTAAGGAACTGCTATGCCAGCCTCAACCCTGTGCTACGTACTAGAGGATAGTCAACCCTTAGTCATGAGTTATGGACTGAATCTATCTATTGTGTAGTGGTAGCATGTGAATCATTGTTCGATTGTGTGATGGTAGAGAGCTGGGGATCCTCTGTTCCATTGTTCCGGCCCCGCGGTAAGGTGCAGTATCTTCTGACACCCCCGACATCATGTACTAAGGAACTACTATGCCAGCCTCAACCCTAAGCTGCGTACTAGGAGGATAGCCAACCCTGAGAATCTATTGACTTTGAGTTGTATGGTAATCTGAGAGCTGACAATCCTTTGTTCCATCGTATATCCCTGGAACCCATTCCGGCCCCGTGGTAAGGTGCAGTATCTCCTGACACCCCTGACATTCCGTACTAAGGAACTGCTAATGCCAGCCTCAACCCTTGACTGCATACTAGGAGGAAGACCAGCCCTTAGTCTTGATCTGGTAGCGAACACAGGACCTCATGTGAACCGTGCAAATGGCCTAACCTATTGACCTATACTGTGAAACAGTTTGTGACTACCGTCTTCCCCCGAACACAATGCACCCTTATTTTGGCTGTATCTGGCCGCACATATAGCTCGTATACGTTCATTTTTAGGGTGCGTTATGTTCGGGGGAAGACGGTATGCTTTGCTGGGCTCGAGTAAACCAGACCGTACAAATCACCCAGCAGTCTCATGACCACCCCACAGACCAAGAACATCAGGACACCCCACCCTCGCCCAGTCCCAGCATACAACAACCATGGGCTACCCCCTAGGGTGGTGCGCAGGCAGTGTCTGTAATAGCGTAGCTGCGTCATTCCAAGGGGGCGTATGTCCAGCCGTGCGTCACTCTAACCCCCTGCCGGTATCCATGTGCAAGGTTGCGACGTTTTGAACCTCCAACCTTATACCACAATGCGCATTTCGAACCGGTGCTCTGACTACTGAGCTACATCAACATGGCCTCATATTTTTTAGGAGAGGTTTTCGGATGTACTGGTGGTTTAATGCCATTCGATAAATTGGTGCCGGTTCAACCCCAGAGCACAGTGCTTGCAACATCTGAAGTACAAATGGCCAGTTGCTTAGATCTCGGAGGATTCACATACATGTGTCTTTTTGGGAAAAACAAACATCATCACTCGTGAGACACTGCACTTTCGGTGGTGTTGCATGCTGCGACCAGCGGAGCGGCGTGATGCAACATCTGAAGTACATATGGCCAGTTTACTTAAATCTCCTTTGTGGTCTTCTTCGGAAACACCATTACGTGCGAGACAACTGCCTGCTGTTTTGATCGTTGCGCCTTGCTGCGACCAGTGGAGCAGCGCGTCACTCGAGAATGGAGAACAAAATTCAAAAGATTCAAAAAATCTCCAATCAGTGGAATTAAGCAAGGTCTGAAAAAGAATCATAAGAACAGCACCCGGAAAAGAGGTAGGAAAAAAAAAAAAAGTGAGTGAGTCATCAATTCAATCAAATTGAAGAAGAAAAAAAAAAAGGTACGAAAAAAAGAAAAAGACCAAGGATCATGGCAGACTGTTTTGTTGGACTTGCACCGACTCATCAGGGGGCTTGACCATTGACAGTGTGCAAAAAAACATCATCAGAGTTGCGATGAGCCATAGGGCCTGGCTCCACTGCTCACCGCGTTCTCAAAAGACAAAAAATACGGTGGTGTATCTTTCCATGTTCTAGGAGAAGATTCACTCTCATTGTGCACATTTGATGAGTAGTGGAGCGAGGCCTGCAATCTGCTTCAACACTTGATGATAGAGCCAAGAGGACACGGAGGAGCACAAACGGCAAAGGCAAACAGCAATAGGAAAGAGAGGGAGGAGAGCAAAGGGGGACAGGATGGCAGGGAGCAAGGCTACACAGTACGTAGCAGCAAGGGATTGGACCAAAAAGTTACAGGGGAAGATAGGACATCCAAACCACAGGAGGTAATTCTCCAGGTGGGGGCTGGGCCACCAGGAGGCAGGAGCTTAGGCGCAGTGCCCCGCCAATAGACGGAGTCTACACAGGGGGGTTGCAGATACCTAGAATTGAACTAGGACCAATAAGCGAAAGGGGAGATAGGGGGGGGGGCTGGGCCAGTAGGAAGTAGGAGCTCTAGAAGCAGGAAGGGTGATTTATGCAGCCCCGAGGGAAAGACAGTGCTCCAGGCTAGGAACTGCAATGGCCATAGTCCCAAGAAACAATGCACTCAGAACCTGTGTATCGGAGGGACACTGGGCCCGGTTTCCACGGAGCAGCCCGACAGGCAAAGCCTCAATTCGAGCGGTTCTCTTACCACCACCAGGATAGACACCTTGCAGAAGGGGGCTTTCCTGGGGGGGGGGGGGGAGGGAATAGTATAGACGCTTTGCAGAAGGACCTTTTCCTTTCCAAAAAAAAAAAAAAAAAAGAGGCAGGCATACAAGGCACAGCACGGGCGGACAGGCACTTTGAGCACTGAGGCAAACAGCATGGCAACAAGACAACGCACAGCAAGACAGGCAGGCATGCAGGCAGGCAGGCAAGAAAGAGGGTGGGCAGCACAATGGGAAGAAACGCAACAAGGCAAGCAGCAAGGCGCAGGGAAGAGCAATCAGACGTCAAAGCAGGACGGGAAGACAGGCATGAAGGTGGGGAGGTAGAATGAACTGAAAGGCGGCAAGGCAGGCAGCAAGATGCAGGGACGAGCAATTGGAAGTCCAGCAGCAACAAGGCACAAAGGGCAGGAAGACGCGGGGGAGGCAGGTTGGGGCAGCCAAACAATACGGAAAGCAACGGGCACCAGATCGCAGCAGAAAAGCACAGCAGCAAGGCAGACACATGTGGGGGTGGACAACACAGTGCGCAACAAGGAAAGCCGCACCAGGGATGCTTCATCCAAACGGCAAGACGAGTGTGGCTGTAAATGATGTATATTCTCGACTTGCCGGGGAAAAAAAGGAACAGGACTGATGCTGACCAGAATGGATATGGAGCCATGAGGACCAGGGAACACAGAGACACAGGCATCCTGACAACAACCACCCCCCTAAATAGAGTTTCTGGTACTCCAAACGGATAGATACTGACTATTTGGCACGCCTTGAGGGTGCTGCTCTTCGACTGCTCTTCGACACGAGAGAGAACACGGAAAAGACACTACTGTCTTCACCCGAATCGTACGCCCAGTCATTATGGCTGTAACTAGACTGAAACTTGCACCAAATACAGCTACAATGACCAGGTGTTCCATTCGGGTGAAGACGGTAGTGCACACAAAGTGGCCCACTACTTAGAGGAAGAGAAGAGTTTACGAAAACAAAGAAAGAAAAAACAAGAAAAAAGAAAAAAATATCCCAGAGCATGGCTTCACAGGATTATGTTAAACTGCCACTACCTCACCCAGGCAAACTTGAGAATCGAAATTTCGTCAATCCAGGTTTTCTTCGGATAAACAGTGTTGCCGCGAACTTGCCGGACCAAAATGGCTGACGTTTCCAGCCAAAGGAGAAGGAAAAAAAGTGCGCTGCTGATGATTCATTTTTCATTGGCGCACGAGTGCAAAGCCGTGTCGGGAAAAAGAGGCTCCGAGGTACTGGGAAAAACTCAAAAAAGCGAAGAAACATTTATGCCCAGGTCATACGATTCGAGTTTTTTGAATCTGCAGGGAAAACAGGTGACCCAACTCCGATAATGCCCAACGAACACACTAATGGATTTGTGGCCACGCAGAACTCATAAAAGGGGAGCTGGAGCTTGAGTGGGAAACCCAAACAAAAAAAAAAAAAACTAAAAAAAAAAAAAAAAAAAAAAAAAAAAAAAAAAAAAAAAAAAAAAAAAAAAAAAAATGACAGCGGAAGTGACAGCTACAACGAAAACAGCATGGGCGACTCAATGATGTCTTACTCCGTTTGTATTCATCACTGGTCCTCGCTGCAGTACTCTCCAACTGTGCAAAATGAGAATGAATCTTCCGCTAGAACATGGAAAGATGCACCGCCGTATTTTTTGTCTGTTGTGCATGTGGAGAGTAGTGCAGCAAGGCTGCAACGCCGGAGCAATCAATGCTGTTCAGGGGTCCTTCGGCCAGACGGAAGGAAGCGTGAGGGTGTCTCATATTGTAATTTCTGACTTGCCGGTCGAATAGGAACCAGACTGATGCTCCCCAGAATGGATATGGAGCCAGGCCCATAAGGACCTGTTTTTCTTTGGGAAAAAAAAAAAAAGAGTGCTGCAGCAAGGCCCATTGACTTGCTAGGGGAATAAGAACCGGACTGTCGCTCCCCAGAATGGTAGGAGCCCCAGAACTGAGAGAGAGAGGTTCTGTTTTTTTTTCTGAAGCAAGAAAGAAAAAAAAAAGAAGAGAAAGAAGAAGAAGAAGAAGAAAGAAAGAAAGAAAGAAGAAGAAGAAGAAGAAGAAAGAAAGAAAGAAAAAAGAAGAAGAAGAAGAAGAAGAAGAAGAAGAAGAAGAAGAAGAAGAAGAAAGAAAGTGATCCGCATGTTGACGACATCTGTGGATCGTGTTCTCAGAAATGATTAGCAGCACAGCACCCCACCACAGATGTCCACCTCATCTCCACATCACTCCCTGCCACACCTGAGAGGGAGAACAGGGGGGGTGGATGCCCCACACCTCCCTTACTCAGCTCCTTTTTTTTTTGTTTTTTAATAAAATTTTGGACCATTTCTCAATTTATGTGTGTTATGCCTGTGCTGGGGCCATCTAATCTAATCTCCTCTGTATCGTTCCAATTTAAATGGATGTCTGCAAACTTGCAAAACAGCTCCCCACATACTCCTACACAAACCTCCCATTTCTTTCCAACAGAATGTCTGCATGTTGACTGGAAAAAAAAAAAAAAAGGTAGAAAAAAAAAAGAAAAAGAAAAAGAAGAGAAAAAGAATGTCCGCGTGTCAACATCTGTCAGATCGAGTTCTCAGAAGAACCGATTGGCAGGAGAGCCCGTAAAACTCATCCGTCCCCACACCACCCTCGCTACACCTGAGAGGGAGGAAAGGGGGTGGGTGATGCCCCACACCTCCCCACCTGCCCTACTTCCACATGAACCTCCCAATTCTCTTTTTTTTTTTTTTCCTTCGTTTTTTCTGCAGCTATCCACAAATACGTCCAGATTTAGGCGGTTTAATCCTATCCTCTGTGCTAGACAGAATGTCCACAAAAGAACTGCAAAACACATCACCCCTTGGCTGCAACCTTCTTCGCTTTTTTCTGATCTTGCCTGATCTTCATAAGCCCTGGAGCTGCCACCTTCACATTCCCTATCATGACTGCAACAAGCTCAGTTTCGGGTACCGCCTTCATAAGATCCTTCTGGCGTGGTGAAACATCCACTGTCCGCGCAAACACCTCGACTGCGGTTCTTGCCGCCTTGCCTTTCTTCACAGTCCCCGGCGTCAACTTCACCCTGTACTTGTAGTTCTGAAGAGCGCTGTAAGGTCCGCAGACAGGAACAGCATACAGCAAGACATCGTCCTCGCGGGGAACGCCTGTCAGCGAGTCGAGCTCGGTCAGCTTTTCTCTGTCTTCATCTCCCAATTCCAAGATGTTCTCTTCCGCCAACAGCGCAGTGACTTCAGCCTCTTCTGCTCTCGCTCTTGCGCGTCTGCTCATACCCTCTTTCTTCTCTCCCTCTCCTCTGAAAGCTCTCTCGGCGTCCGCGCCACCCATCTCACCCGTTGTCGACACCGTAGCTTTGCAATCGCGAGCTATGTGCCCTGTCTGCTTACACTTGTAGCACACCCTGGAGGCAGTGGACAAGTCATCTTCAGCTTCTGCATCTTCCCCTATTCTTGGGTGAGATGCATTCGCCGCCCCTTGTTTGCTGCCTTTTCCTCCTCCTCCCTTGACATCCTTCCCCTGAGGAGGGTGTTGCCCTTGCACAGCATTCTTCTTATGGACTCCAGCTGACCCCAAAAGAACCATTCTCAGCTCTCTCTCCTCTTCGTCCTGATCAGCATACTTCTGCTTAATTTTCTTTAACCTGCTTCTTCTGCCTCTCTGTATTCTGCCAGAGGTTTTGCTTGGTGCTTCTGCCTCCTTCTTCTCCTCCTCCTCCTCTTCCTCCTCCTCCTCCTCTTCTCCACCTTTTCCCTGCTGACTAGCTTTCTGCTGCTGGTCATTTGCACCCTCTTTCAATCCCTCTGAATTGGAGGGAGGCTTCTTTTTGGCTTGTGCACTTGCTTTCTTCAGTCGACGCCTCTCTGCAATAGATAGGTGATGTTTATCTCGCCGTGCGAGATCCGCATTCCCCCCCTCCTCCTCGCCCTTGCCGTCCCTGTTTTCTCCCCCTCCTCCCCCTTCTCCATCATCCCCGCTTTCGTCCCCTGGTCCATCAAGCTCGTACTTGTCCCCACCCACCCTCACTGGCACAGGGTGATCCTTCTTGACCCCTTCTCTATCTTCTTCCTCCAGATTACCTCCATCCTCCTTTCCCCTTGTCCTTCCTACCTCGGTGTTCGTCAATTCATCTTCTTCCTCACTTGCACCCTCACTAGCAGTTTCTGCATCTCCATCATCACTGCGATCCATGCTCGGCAAACCACCATCATCCTCAACCTCATCATCATCATCATCATCATCATCAGCAGCAGCAGCAGCAGCACCACCACCATCGCTGGCAGCTGCACTGGCCACAGCATCAGCAGCAACAGCCAAGGCAATAGCAGCAGAGGCTGAGGTTGCTTCCTTCCTGACGTTTGCATCGTTGGATGCCTCCTCTGCCACCTCTTCACCCTCGATTCGAATCCTCCTCTCATTTACATGCGCCGCGACCGAACTGTCATCCAGCCGAAAGAGGAAGCCAAAGCCCATCAAGAGAGGATTAGGAGGGAGGAAGTTCTTTTTCCCTCGGATCATGAAGCTTCCTGTGGGGAGGTACTCTCCTGTGGGTGCTGTTTTCGACACCTGATGGTGATAAACCCACCAAGCACTGGTCACAATCTTGGAGTCCCAGGCCGCACTTCTACACACAGTCATGCATCCTGCCTGATTGAGAGTTAATGGAGGCACAGGAGCCGTTGGATGCGGATTCTTGATGACACAACTAGCTGCCCCATGGAGTTCTGCATGCACGTACAGGTCACCCTTCTTGAGGTAACGTTTAACCACTATCTCGTTCTGCTGGGCGTCCTTCCCACTGATCACCAGATAATTCTCGCTAGATATAAACCAGTGAAACTTCTCAAACCAGTGGACCTTCCTCATGTGGACAATCTTGGCAACCCTTTTGGCCTGGGCTAGTTGCTCGTTGGTCTTCTTCTCCGCTGCCTTCAGAGCCATCTCTTGCACACTTAACGTCTTCTGTTGCTTGACTATATGTTTCTTCTTGGCATCGAAGTGCACTCTGGCATTGGCATGAGCAGAAATGGCCAAGTCCACTTCCACCTTGTCAGCAGGCCGGGTCTTCTCCTCCTCCTCCATGTCGTCCAAGTCATTGCTCAGAAGAAGGGTGATCTGGTTCTTCTGCAGCTGCAGGCTATGAATCAGCCCTGCCACCGGATTGCCAGCCTTGCGCTCGTCTTTGACCATGCGCGCTAGCTCCACCCAGTCCATCCCGCTGGCCAGCGCACCACGGACGGCTAGGATTGCAGCGTCCACGTCATCTAAGTTGTACTCGATCAGCTCTGCTTTACGGACCGACTCATCAGCAACCTCCTGCAGGACTTGCGCGCGCTTCGTCTGATCAGCTCGGATCTTATCCAGCTTGCCAACCGCCATAGTCTCTGCAGCACGCCGCTGCTGATCTAATCGCTGCCCTTCTATCTTCGAGAAGAAGTCATCCATAGCCGCATCGAAGGTGTTGAATCTCAAGCTCTCGCATCCTTCCAGCTGCTTAAGTAAAAATGGAACGAATTCTGCATACAGCTTCAGTTCCTCTGAGCTCTGTTCGGGCTTCTCATCATCATCAATTGCTTGTTCTTGCTTGTTCTCTTTGCCTCTGGCCCCCCCACTACCACCAGCACCACCAGCACCACCAGCACCAGCAGCAGCAACAGCAGAAGCAGCAGAAGCAGCAGAAGCAGCAGACGCAGCAGAAGCAGCAGCAGAGTTTTTATTTGCTCCCTTAGCGGCTTTGGCAGCACCAGCAGCAGCAGCAGCAGAAGCAGCAGCAGAGTTTTGATTTGCTCCTTTAGCGGCGGCTTTGGCAGCACCCTTCCCGGCAAATTTTGCACTTTTCCCGCCGCTGTCACCTCCTCCTCTTCCGCTTCTCTTCTGCATCACAATGAACCCCTCAGGGATCGTCGCCGTCGCTTTCAGACCTTGGAACCAGTCCTCGAACGTGCTCACCGCCTCCATAAGCCCATCTATCTGCCATGTCGTTAACCCCTTCACTCCCCCTCCTCCATCACCCACACCTTTGCCCCCTCCTATCTTGATGTGGGGTGAGAGTCCTGCATCAAGAATGATGTGCTCGCTCAAGGAGGGCCCGTAGGCAAGGCCATCGGCAATCAACCCCTTCAGCAGGGGTTCGCCATAGCCGTCACCACCCCCTGCTTGCTTCTTTCCGGTTCCTTTCAGCGTGGCTGCTACTTCCTTCTTTCCACCCTTCCCTCCTCCTCCTCCTCCTCCTCCTCCTCCTCCCCCTCCTCCTCCTCCTTTGCCACCAACCGCAGAGCTTCCCTTGGAAGCCGAAGACCCCCTTTGATCTCCACCACATTCTCCCCCTTTATCCCTTGTGGACTTTACTCCATTCTGATTGGCTCCCTTCCCCTTCGCATGCTCTTCTTCTTCGAGGACCCCGCACTCTCTCCCCCCCTCTGCACCCCTCCTCTGTGCCCCCTCCTCGCCCTTCAACACAGCCGTCAACTTCTCCTTCGTCGTCCTTTCAAACGCACGGCACATCTCAACGGGATACTGATGATTCACCATCATCGATATGCCCTTCTCGTCATCTCGATGAGAGCGAAGCAGGGCAAGGACCTTGTAAGAGCCATCAGTGAGGAGGATATTACCCTGGGAGTAAAGCTCAAGAAGGAGGTGGTGTGTGCCTTCTCCCAGGCCAAACTGGAAATCAACGACGCGATCAATCCCAAGCTGCCGGACATCTTCGAGACGCCGCGTCCGGATGTGTTTGCGCAACTTCAGTGTGAAACCTGAGGGGGTTATACTCTTATCTCTGGAGAACTTGGTAGTGTGAAAACGGATTCCACTTTCCACGAGCAGAAGCTCTTTCTCACTCTCTCCGGTGTCTGTAACCCCCCCGCTCTTAGCCAATTTCAGAACATATGTCTTAGGATTGATGTCGTACACGTTGGCCACACGCATCCCAATCAGACGGCGGAGGCATGCCACCTCCGCCGCCACGTCAGCGGTCGTCATACGCCCCTTCACCATCTTGTAAAGCTGGTTCTTGCTAGCGATTCCTGCCTCCAACTCTCCTCCCCCCCCCCCCCCCCCCCCCCCCCCCCCCCCCCCCCCCCCCCTCCCCCCTCCCGGGGCCACCCGCCCCTCCTTTTCAATAAGCCCTTAATTAAGCCCCCTCCTTTTCAATAAGCCCTTAATTAAGCCCCCTTCTTCCTCACCTTTCTCCAGAGACCAGATCCGATCCTCTCGGCGGACCCAATCCAATCCAAGAGCGGAGGGGCAAAGAGCCGCTAAGGAGGACACGAACGGCGGCGACACGTGGCGTGGCAAGACAGGCAGTGCCTTTCTCGACGATTGACAGCTTGCCTCTCCTCCTTCCGGCGGCTGAAGATAACCCCTACCCCTAGACGTGTTTCTACCCCCTCCTCTTTACCTCTCTCCACCTTCCTATAAGAGTCCTCCATCCTCCATATCCAGAAAGCTTTCACATAAGACACGTGGAAGCACAGTACAGCAGTGCGCCACAGATCTGCTAATCCACAAGAAGGGCGTTAGAGCGCTACCCCTGGGAGCGGGGCGACCGGCAGGGCCCGGCCGTACTTACTCCCCCCACCGGCGGGTGGGCCGTACCCCGGGTACGGCTCGGCTGATCGCCGCTCGGGCTGACGTAGATACCTCCACGTGGCGCATTCAGCGTGGCCCTGTCGGCCTCACGTGGCTATGTCGATGAGGTCAAGAGCCTGAGGCGGATCCGATTGTTCGATTCGATCGAGGTTATTGGCGCGCTTTACCCTGATGAGGAGGGGGGGAACCGTCGACGACTTCCGTACGCACGACGAAGATGATGAAGTCCCTGATCTCTTGGAACCCACCTCTGGCGGCTATCATCAAACTGCCACGCTGGCGCGAGCTATGGGCGCTTGATATCAAGCGCCACACGCAGAAGGGTGGCCCTCAGGATCGGAGGCTTGTGGACAACTGTGGAAGAATAGACCAGCCCTCCCGCACCTAGATGAATATGACCGCAATCACGTCCAGAGCCCCGCCGAACCTAGACGAATATGACCGCAATCACGTCCAGAGAGTTAAGTAGGAAAAGTCCTCAGTGTGAGAATGGTGGCAGTGGAGATACGGTGGACTGCTTCCGCGTGCAGTGCGAGAGGAGGAAGCGTGTTTTCCGGAGGAAGGCACGCGGGAGATGGAGGGTTGACCACCCCGGACGATGTACGAAATGAATCAGGAACGATCCACTACCGTAGGATCGCAATCAACTGGTGTGGAAAGAAAAAGAAAAAGAAAAAAAAGGATTCTGCTCTCCTTACTCAGCCGATCGGGAGGGCGGAGCGCCTCGACGAGGAATCGCGATCAGGCCCGGATGATGGGGTCGGAGATCAGGGTAAGGATCAAAGATCAGAACACGTGGACTGCGAGTTTGGCGCGCCGGCACCACGTGGAGCCTCGACAAAAAAGAGAGAGGGGCCCTGCAAGCGTGGACAAGCGATCCCCAACACTCTTTGCCTTCCTGCACTCCTGGACTGGCAAACGCCCGGGGCCGGGTACGCAGGCCGGAAATAGACCTCTAAACGCGGGGGACAACAGGGGTAAGGCTCTGATCCCACAATCTTTAGTCGAACCACCAGTACTTGGCCCAGCTATCGAGTCCGAGCCTCGGCTGACCGGTATGCCGACCCTTGCCGAGGCCTGCCGACCCTTGAACTACCGGGCGCTAACTTCCCAAACGTACTTGGAGAAAAACACCGAAAAAAGAAGACAGAAACAAAGAAAACACCAAATGCAAAAAGAAACGACAGAAACACAGGATTAAATCATCTATTATTACAAAAAAAAATGAAAAAAAGAAAAAACATGGTTCCTACCTCCACATGCACAAAAGACTAATCATGGTCGTGTATCTTGCCATGTTCTGGCAGAAGATTCACTCTCGTTTTGCACATTTCGACGGAGAGAGAGAGAGAGAGAGAGAGAGAGAGAGAGAGAGAGAGAGAG